GAGAGAGAGAGAGAGAGAGAGAGAGAGAGAGAGAGAGAGAGAGAGAGAGAGAGAGAGAGAGAGAGAGAGAGAGAGAGATTTCCAAGTTCATAGTGTGTGTGTGTGTGTGTGTGTGTGCGTGTGTGTGTGACGATGACCTTAGTCTTGGACTGGTACTACGATGTTAGACTCTGAATGTATGTAGTCTGAACTCACGACCGGGAATGACTGTCGGGACTGGAGACCGGGACTTGAAACTGTCTCCCAGTATTGGAACTCTGCACTTCGTATTGGGACAGAGACTGCCCACTGGGAACTACGAATCGGGAGTGCGGTTGTGAAACTGGGAGTTGGGACAAAGACTGGCCACTGGGACAGACACTGGCATCCGGGAATGGGGACAGAGACTGTAGGAAGTTAGTGTGGAACCGAAGCCTCACAATTTTCGTTTTGGTATCTTTCGTTTTATAGAAACCATTTTCATTACTTGTTTTTGTGTTTTTCAGACTCGGAGTTCCTGTGTATATGGGACTGGGACTCGGAAACCATTTTCATTACTTGTTGTTTCCGGACTCAGAGTTCCTATGTATATGGGACTGGGACTGGGAGTGTGGCTGCGAACTGGGAACTAGGACAGAGAGTTCCCACTGAGACAGACTGTGAACTTAGATTTGGGACAGGGTGTGTGAGTTGTTAACTTGACGGTTCAGGGTTTAGGGTTTGAGGTTCGCTGTTGTGGGTTCTGAGGTACGGGTTCAGGGTTTGGGAACATATGTCACACGAACACATAAAATACAATGCTATCAAATAAGGGTAAAGGTTTGTCATAAGTCATTTCCTGAAATTTGGGTTTCAACTTGGGACTACGACCTCTAACTTTAGGACTTGTAGCTTCAACTTGGAACGTGGGCTATGGCCTTAGACTCTTACCATGGACTCTCACCTTTGCGAGTGGACTTTGTGCTTAGATTCCGGCCCTGAATTTCAGCCTGGACTGAACTCTAAGCCTGGACTGGACTCTGGGCTTGGATTGACCTACGACTGGACTGTGAGCTAGGACTACACTGTGAGCTAGGACTGGACTGTGACCTAGGACTGCACTGTGACCTAGGACTGCACTGTGAGGGAGTATGGAAAATAGTAGGACTGCACTGTGACCTATGACTGCACTGTGAGCTGGGACTAGACTGTGAGCTAGGACTGCACTGTGAGCTAGGACTGCACCGGATTGTGAGCTAGGACTGGACTGTGAGCTAGGACTGCACTGTGACCTAGGACTTCACTGTTTATTGTCGTGTGTGCTATGTTATCCTCCGTGGTGGTAGTTGTACAATTTGTCTTCTCATGACAGTAATGTTGTGCTCTGTGATGCCGGGTGTGAAGAGCCAATTGAGCGAAATGTTGTGCACGAGTGCGTGCACTTGCCACTGACAATCTTTTTGATCCGTGAATGAAGAAAGGGCACTCGCATGTCTTTGACTTCGTGCTCGTTTTGTTCGTCGTTCCCTTCCCTGTTTTGTTACTTATCTGCATTTTTATATGACAACAATCTCGTCAAAGATGTTGCTCGAGCCACAGCTGGTACCGTAGCCGCTATCGTTGTCTCAAACTGGGGACGCAGACCTGGGACTTACCACTACAACAGACGTTAGATTGGATCTGAAACTTTGAACATACAGTCCGGACATTGACTTGGGACTCTGCCTAACGATTGACCGCTTGCAAGTTTTTTTTGGCGTGTACAGTTTGCAATCTATGCTGCGTGTCTGGTTTGTTTATGTACTGATTTTCACTACTCGTTTTTTTTGTCAGTGTTGCAGAAGATACTTGCGCGCGTATCGACGTCTTTGCAGGCCATTTGAGGGATTCGCCTGTAACTTGCGCAGTGGTAAGTGTTATTTCTTGTGTGTTGTGTTGTTGTATGTGCTATGTGCTATGGGGATTGGAAATAGGGATCGGGAATTGGGACAGGGACTGCCCACTGTAAACAGGGAATTGGGAGTGGACTCATTTTTCAAAGTTATATATTTTCGTATTACGATTTTTGTTCATGGTTCTCATTGCGTCTTTACTTTTATCGTTGTTTGGACCGGGAATGAGTACTCAGACTCGAGACTGGTATTCAGGAAAGGGACTGGGGATGGGAACATGGGATTCCGAATTGCGACAGGGACTGCCCACTGGCATGAGAATTGTTGCAGCCGTATTCGTCTCATATTAAAAGAATTCTGTGGAGTGTTGGTTCTTGTGACCTTTGTGCCCTGTAGCAGTCTTTCGTGTTCACTGTTGTCGTGCAAGCTGACAACATCCTTGTGGCAGAGTGTGTACGGGTATTCTATGTCCTTTCACACACACATATACAAAAGTGAGTTGGTGGTTCATACTGAGATGATTTCGTTCACCTATTTTGTTCTTTCTTGCGCCTTGTCGCACCTGCTCTCGCTTCCCGTGCTTAAAGGATGGAGTGGAAATTGACGAAGGGAGCGAAAATGTAAGGGAGATGTAGGGCTCGAGAGGAATGGAGGGAGACGGATGGAGAAGGATGGAGTCGGAGGGAAACAGGAATTATAGCATTGCAAGGAAAAGGGAGCTAACTAAATTGCAGGTGTTGACCACTGTCGTTGAGAGGGATCAAGGGAGACGAAGGGAGCGACAGATGGAAGATGCAAGGGAGACAGAGGAATAGAGGGAGATTACGACACATATGGACCGTTGGATTGTTGTGCTTTCAAAAACTCACACCCCATCTCTACTGTCTCCTGTTCCGTTCGTCGCCTGGGTTTGTGTTTACCTTTGAGCTCCGATGTCCCTTCTATTGGGTGAAAACCTCCCACCCCATTTTCGTACCTTCTGCTTTTTACTGTCTCCTGTTCGCCGCGGATGGATTAGCATGAATGTGTGTGTGTGTGTGTGTGTGTGTGTGTGTGTGTGTGTGTGTGTGTGTGTTGTATGACCCGTGATGTCTGTACTTAACGTGCATTTCGGTGTCACTGTGCTTGCATTTTGTATGTGTGAGTGATTGCGAGGTCTACTCTTAGTGTTCAACTATTCAGGTCCCCCTGCTGCACTGTCGCGAAACTTCTCTGCTTTCAATCTTTTGGTAAGTCTTTCTCCCAGCTTCCTGTTTGTTGCTACGCTGCGTAAGTTAACCTGTTTTTTGACATACATTGGCAGGGTTTAGGGTTGAGGGTTTAGGGTTTAGGCTTTATGGTTTAGGGTTGAGGGTTGAGGGTACATGGATGAGAGAGAGAGAGACTCCCTGAGCAATGGAAATGTACCGTTCCTGGATGAGGAAAGGCTGCTATATTTTTTAGTGGACCCTACTTCAAAACCTTGCATCATAATCACACCTGAGTTCACAATGTTGTAATGAACGACAATTGCGATGGCGATGCCAATATTTTTGTTCCTTTTATTTTCCTTCTATTCGATTTCGTCTGTTCAGTAGTCACCACAAGATATTGTTCCTTTTATTTTCCTTCTATTCGATATTTGTGCTGTGTGATTCGTTCCCCACCCTGCTTTGCGAGACAGAAAACAGAGAAGAACGGGACAGGGTATCGACGAGAGGGAGTCGCCAAGAGATTAGCGACCATGCAGCGCTGCAATCACAATGGAGGGGGGAGGGCGGAGTGGAATCTGATGAAGGCGGTCCGGAAAGCGGTGCTGACAGGAACGTTTATGCCAGGGGGGACAGCGGGGCAGAGCATGGGGGGCGAGATTAGTTTGAGAGTGAATCAGGAGATGGCGAGAGTGTATGTCACGTACCTGCGCGCGCACGCAGTATTGATCCAATTCGAGGGTCCGCTGAGACAATTCTCGTCGGAACTGAAGGTAGATCTCGTCGGCCAGTGGGAGGGCACATGGCCACGACTCGCGAGAGGACGATTCAACGGGAGGATGACTGCGGAGGGGCCCGCAACGATCCTCTATTGGGCACCATCGGCGATGTTTGAGAACGTGGTTGGTGGAAACTCGTAAGGAAGAGAAGGTCAACATCAATGGCCAAGAGCATGTGGCTACCTTTGCACCATGGAAAACGCCGGTGGAGCTCGAGTGGGATAGACTGATGGAGCGCAAGCGCCACCCGTGGGTGAAGTTKATTCATCCTTCGCCGATAGTACGAACCTTCTTGCGAGAGACAGCCGCTCACCTTTTCGGCGAAGTGATCAACGACGAGGGGGCCAGAACAACGGATGCCCTAGGGAGGGAGGAAATAACATTCCACCTACGTCCGCCTCTTAGAAGGATAGGTTTGGACCGGTTGGTGATCGACCTAGGGATATATGGTCGTCATCCGGTCCGACATATCACTGGCGAGACACCCTGGTGCACGACATGCAGACGCCATGGCCACCTGGCAGGGAACATGGGCTGCCTCACGATACAAGAGACAAGGAGAGAACTCAACAATAGAGAGAGGAGGTTGCGAGATGACCCGGCAAGACCGAGGAATGCGAGAGAAGAGATAGAAGGATGGATCAGATTCGAGCAGCAACATGATTACTTGATCAGTGCAGAGCTCCTGGTAGAGGGTAGCTTCGTCGATGTGGAGGGAGTGTCGACAGGGCACTTCCTCCCCTCGGTGAGAATACGGCAACTATCCGATCAGGGCAATGGGAGTGGCCCCGCGGAGAATCGGACAGAAGGGGAGATCGAAGGAAGACAGGAGGGGGAGGTGCAGCAGAGGGCTTTGGGTCGTGACAAAGCACAGGAAAACGGGGAAGATGAAGAGGAGAGGCAGGGGCGGTGGAGGACGCCTGAGAGTGCGGAGAGGGAGAAGGGGAACGCATAGGTAGCGGGGAGACGGAATGGAAGCCGACAGCAGGGCCGGGGAAAGAGGGAGGAAAGGGGGGAGAATCAAGGAGGCCGACCGCAGCGACAGCAGACGAGAGAGGTCGAGATGGAGGAAAATGAGGAGGGAGGAGAGGAGGGGGAGACCCCATGGGGAACAGCGGAGGGTGAGCAGGGGGACGTGGAGATGATCGATCGGGAGGGAGGGGGCGAAATCTGCCCCCCGGAAGGGAGGGGGGAACAGAGAAGACCATCGAGATTGTGTTTTGGAGTCTTATACTGTGACTGAGTCAGGATTGTAAAATGGCGAAGACTAAGAATTTATACGAACTTGCTGGAATTCAGTTTCTACGAAGGATAATTAGGAGTACCCAAATGATGGCAAAATTATTGGCAGTGTATAAACATATTTTCTTTTTCGAACTGCCTTTCACCATAGTTCCTTACCATATAACGTTCTTCACGTTGTTCATTTTTTGTGCACATGAAACATAGTTCAGTTTGTGCTCTTCATTCACTGCCTTTTTTTGAAGAAGATAGGTGCTCCTCTGACATGGGTTTCAATTGAACAGGGGCCTGGGTCAGGGGATCAAGATGGGGACATGATAATTCGGGTTTCAACTTTGGACGGGCCACCTCAAACTTGAGAGTGGGACCTTGGACTTGTAGCTCAAACTCGGAATGCAGGATCTGACCTTAGACTCTAACCTTGGAGTCTCACCGTTCAGTACGAAAGTGGGACTCTGGGCGTAGAATCTGACACTGGACTCTGAGCCTGGACTCGACTCTACGCTTCGACTGGACTGGGCTCTGAGCTTGGCCTGTGGACTCTGAAGTTGGACCTAGGACTCTGAACTTGGACTCTGAACTTGGACTCTGAACTTGGACTCTGAACTTGGGCTCTGAACTTGGGCTCTGACCTTAGACTCTAACCCTGGACTCTCACCTTTGACTACGAAACGCACCACTCTGGGTGTAGACTCTGATCCTAGACCGGCACCCTGGACTCTTAGCTTGGACCTGACTCTGAGCTTGGACTAGACTGGACTTTGAGCCTGGACTGTGGACTCTGAAGCTGGATCTAGGACTTTGAACTTGGACTGTGGACTCTTAAGGGCGTGGGGATTGAAACTTGGGGTTGTCACTCGGGACTGTTATTTGCGACTGTCACTTGGGACTATAGAAAGGACTGTGATTAGAGAGAGAGAGAGCGACTGTCACTTGGGAATGTTAATTGGGACTATAGAAAGGACTGTGATGAGAGAGAGAGAGAGAGAGAGAGAGAGAGAGAGAGAGAGAGAGAGAGAGAGAGAGAGAGAGAGAGAGAGAGAGAGAGAGAGAGAGAGAGGTGTCTGCGAGCGGATGACTGTGCTCTGTGCTATGTTCTGCTGATATGCGTAGTCGTTGTAGTCTTCACTGTGTTGTGTGACAGTGTGAAGGTGTGTCACTTGACCAACCACTCCATTATTTTTTGCTCCACTCCTCAGCCTGATATGCGTAGTCTTGTTGTCTTCACTGTGTTGTGCGACAGTGTGAAGGTGTGTTCTGAGTGAAGGTGGGGTCATCACTCTCTCCCTCTCTCTCGTCGATGTCATTGTCATCACTGATGCTTTCGGCCACGCACACGTAGGTCCGTATGACTTTTTTTTTTTTTTCATTTTCTTTTATGTGCCCTATATTCTTTTGCATGATGTTTTTTCCCCTTCAGGTTCTCATTATTCTGTGATTGGGGTACTGAACTAAACTGTATTGTCACATGGTCATGAAATGGCTGCTGCTGCTGTCAATTGTCAAGGCGCTTCACCTGATTGTCTGCATAATTTGAGCATTCCCCTTGTTGGGCGTAACTGCCATATCGAGTCGCGTGTCAGTCACGGGTCGGGATCATAGGTTTGTAATAGGGGCTGAATTAGAGGTCTGTAACAGGGTGTGGATTGGAAGTCTGAGGCTTCAAACAGCTTTTTTGCAGTCTGGGATTTCGACTTCGGACTTGGAAAGGGACTGGGGCTTCACACGCACGGACTGGGACAGGGATTGGGACTCGGGACTGGGACCTGGACTTGGGACTGAATACTTCGAAGTAGGGACATACTTTCGATTGGGAATCTGGATTGGAACTCAAACTGAAACTGGGGACTGGGGATTGGGGCTGGGGACTGGGACAGTCTGCATGCGTGTGCATTTTGTACGTTGTCACTACGACCAACCCTCTACTACATGCTTTGTGCTCTTTGCTGACATGTCCTTTGTGCTCTGCGGTTCCACCCTATTTCGTGTGTAGTGAGTTGGTGGTTTTTACTCGGATGCTCATCAGCGTTGTGCTAATGTCATTTCGTTTGTTTGCTTTGTATCTGCGTTGCTCAGCGACCTTCCTCAGGGCTAGGGTAGTGCCATTCATTTTTGGATTTGCCGAAGGTGCTTGCGCAGCGCTCAAAGCGGAATCATTGCCTCATGTGTTGCATTCCCCGTGGACTTGTTACATTCCCTACGAACTTGTTCCAGTTCTAGGTGCCACAACGTTAAGGATCACGGTTTCTGCATGTCATATCTGCCCGGTCCCTCATTCCAGAACTGGTATGTGCAGTCCATCAACTACTTACATCGGCTCCATCCAAAGCATCAAACCGCGCAGTGGTCCACTGCCTGTGTGTTGTCAAAGGAGGACGTCGAGAAAGAGGAGGAAGAGAAGAAGAAGCAAGAGGATGAAAAGGAGGACGTGGAGGAATAGGAGGGGCTGATGTTGCAGCAGAAATAGAGGAAGAAGGAAAGGAGGAGGAGAAGAGGAGGAAGAAGAGGAGAAGAGGAAGATGAACAGTATGGAAAGGAGGACGAGGAGGACGAGGAGGAGGGTATTCTGTAGACTGTTCAGGGTACACCCTCCTGATGAGCACATTTATCTGCATCCCGGTTGGTTTTGTCTCGTGCTTCGGTCCACGTGGCGGTGTTTTTATGTGGGTTGTTTGATCCACGTGTTTTTATGTTGCCCGCAACTCTGGGCAGCTGGACATCCATCCAGCCAAAACCGACGGTATGTGACTTGGGACTGTCACTTTGTACTGTGAATTTGGGTCTGGGACTCTAATTTGGGACTTGGTTTATTGGACATGCCTAAAAAACGTATCCTGCATTTCCACAATGACGAAGCCATGGACCCAAAGCCCCACTCCGAAGTCCCAGACCTAAGTCCTTGTGCCAAGTCCCGGACCTAAGTCCCTATGCCAAGTCCCAGACCTAAGTCTGTGTGCCAAGTCCCAGACCAAAGTCCCTGTCCCGAGTTACAGTTCCCAGTCACAATCCCACGAACATGGGACTTCGACCTTGTACTCTGACTTTTGACTCTGAAAGTAGAATCTGGCCTTTGGACTCTGAGCTGGGACTTAATGACTGTGGACTTTGTGTCTGGGCAGCCCAGACCACATTGTAAGCCTGGACTCGATTCTCACCCTTGACTGTGGATTGTGATCCGTGATTCTCAACCTCGTCTTTGGACTCTGAAGTTGGACTCGGGACTCTGAAAATGGACCAAGGACTCCGAACTTGGACTCTGACCTGCACCTATGTTATGGAAACAACCCTTTACCTAAGCATGTGCGATGATATAAAGATGAAATGCTAGAAAGAATTCAGTTTCTTACTAATCAGCACAACATCCTTGCTACCATAGCCGCGCTGGGAGAGAGAGAGAGAGAGAGAGAGAGAGAGAGCTGCCATGCGGAGAGGCAGACACTTGCCACCATAGCCGTGCTGGGGGAGGGATATATAGATAGATAGATAGATAGATAGATAGATAGATAGATAGATAGAGAGAGAGAGAGAGAGAGAGAGAGAGAGAGAGAGAGAGAGAGAGAGA